ACACTTTTGAATTCCTTGATAGACTCTTCATCAAAGTCCTGCCCATGAATGATTCTCATTTGCTTTAAGAATGTACTTTTACCACTCTCACCTGCACCGAGCAAAAGAATTTTAATTGTCCGTCTAAATTGTGCCTTTTCCTTGGCGATGAGTCTGTCTATATCTTTACTTCGACTCTTCTGTTCTTTTTCCTGATCCGACATACAACAAGACATGACAATGTCGGCCATTTTGCCCTCATAACACACCCATGACGTCAAAAACACAAACTTCCGGTTCTTTTTAGGTCACATCTAGTTTCATTTTCACTTGCCTAGCGTGTTTTTACGAAATATTCGAGTGTACGTAACGGTATCTAAACTATTTGACTGTGCGTTAAGAGAATAAAAAGAAAATTGGAAGGGAAATGGGTCCAGTTGTTGACGTCAATCACCTCAACTAGCCTACTTTAAATTGGTAAACAGCAATCTAATATACGGCAGTGTCTATATGCACGACCGTCGTGTACTTACTTTTTCATCGGCTATTCGCACGACCGTCGTGTATATAATTTTTCAATGACTATTTGCACGACCGTCGTGTATATAATTTTTCAGTGACTATTTGCACAACCGTCGTGTATTGTATTTATTAATCAGCTGTTCGCACGACCATTATGTTTTACCATAGACCTAGTCCGAAATATCTGATGTTTTCCTGGCTTTTTTTTTTATTTCACGTGCCTGGCACGTAAAATATCAAAATCGTAAAAAAAATGTCAGGAAAACGTCAGATATTTCGGACTACCATAGACCTAAAACATAACACCAACTTAATGTCATTCATTGTTTCGCCCCCAGTTAAGTTCGGCACGCAGTGATTTAACTGATTTAAGCCTAGAAGCATTTTGGTAAGAAAACATCAAAAAATCTTTCTTTCATAATGTTAATTTATATGCTAAAGTGACATATAGGTCAAATGGGCCGGTCGGTGTAATGTAAATCTGTTTCTATTAGAACAAAATATTTACTTACTATTTTGGTAGGCTTGTGGTTTCACCATCCACCTCAATCTAGTCCGAAATATCTGATGTTTTCCAGGCTTTTCTTTTTTAACGATTTTTAAATTTGATGTGCCTGGAAAAGCACGTCAAATATCAAAATCTTCAAAAAAAAAAAAAAAAAAAAAAAAAAATCCTGGAAAACGTCAGATATTTCGGACTAGCCTCAACCCAAACCCCACCAAGTAAAAAAGAGCCATAGAACATTTGGTAAGCATTTTTCCCTACACTCTATTAGTGATTTCTTAAATACAGTTTTTAACCAAAATTTTGTCATACAACCTTAGTTTATACACGTGTAATCTCAAATTAAACAATAATGATATTCATATGTTAATAGTTCCCTTATATATTAATTATAAAAATCATCCAGTTTGTATGAAGTATGTAGTAAATATTGAGGTATCTACGTAAACGATGACAAACTGTTGACAAAGACCACCCGTAACCAGAAAAACAACATTTGAATGATTTTGTGTATTACGGCACTTTATTTTGGTTCAAGGTGGTCTTCATGTTGTAAATGGTGAAAATTTATGTATATTCATTTTTCTTCTCATATTAATTTAAGATTTGGCAATCTGTCTTAAATTTATCATTCATTATCAACGACTGTGCCAGTATGGCACAGCGGTATGATTCCTGAAATGTAAATGTCATGATTCGAGTTCGACCTCAAGATTTTTCCAGTTGTGCTCATTTAAATTTTTTTCGTTATGTATTTTTTTTCTATGTTTTCTTTACTACTTTTATAATAAACATAGTTTCAGAAAGTCATAATATACACGTTACACTTTGAAAGTATCTTGGCAAAAGACAGTTCTAAACTATTTCATTAAATTTTGCATAACTGCGTGTTTTAATTATTTTTATTGATTTTCTAAACCTTTTGTCCCAAAATTGAGTAATATGAACATATAAAATGACTGCTATATGATATACTTGCAACTATGAAAATATAACACTAGTTCGCAAATGATATTACATTGGTTGAAAGTATTATTAATAGCCAAGGGTCATTTCCTTTTAAATTCTTGAGTCATTGGTAAGACAGCTATGGCTCTTTGCTTCACTGCTCAAGTTCAATTTTTATATTTTTTCTGCCATCAATTTGGTCATCAATGTATCATCGAAATTCCATGGCAGATCCAAAATACAACATATGTGTGAGTGCACTGTGTGGTTTGAGGGCTGAAAGGGTATATAGGAGGGTATAACCCAGTAACGTAACTTTACCCCCCTCCCTCCTATCATCGCTAGCCAAGTGTGAAAGTTAGTGTCTACCCCTGGTGATCTGCACATCTTCTCTTATAGAATGGATGTGATCACCCCCCCCCCTTTCCATTTTTTTTTGTTTCTAATCTTCATTATTTTTATTTTTTTTTAAAAGATTTGTTTTCTTTTTCTATGGCTACTAAACTGCTTCATCTACATTTTTATAGAACTGATAGAAATTATATCATGATTCGGTTGCATTCTTCTGCACACTTGAATACATGTACATGTAGCTTATAATATACCCATCCTCTAGCTGGTGCGTCCATATATTTTATATATGGATGTAAAATAATCAAAATTATCCACAAAAGAAGCTGTACCGTAAAAAGAGAGGGGTGTGAAAGGAAATGGCTGTGGGTCATAATATTTAATTCAGTTTCAAATAGAAATATGTAAATGAACATGATGAAGTAGGAAAAGAATAGAAATAGAAAGACTTTAAAAATGAGAGAGAACCATAAAGGGGGCACGATCATGTGTTCCAGTCTACAGCCAGACTAAAACTGATGAAATGTGGTATTTATGTCCCCGTCCTGTTTCTAAACTTGTGTATTTTACAATTCAGATAGGGGATTGCCCACGAAAGCTTTTTTCATCTGAAGATGGAGTGTAGATCTTACACAGGTGTCAATCCCTTATGTGTTTTACATTTTTTTTTTATTAAACATAAGATAAAATTGAAAAATGTTGAGGTAATTAAATATCAATATACATGTAATACATGTATATTTACTAACGTTTGAAACAATCAATTGCTTGCATTTCTATTTAAAAAGAAAAACTGTCAATGCAAAAAAAGAGATTAAACGTACACATAAAGCCAGAGACGGGCTCATCTCATCCTCAGAATGTCAAAGTTTATTTATGATTTCGGAACTCCACACAAACGGCATCTTCGCTAGCCAAGGGTTTTCGGTCCACTCCGCTCCCCGGATGGACCGAAAAAGATGCACAGACGGATATCTTTGAATTATCGATTAGTTTTTTATTTTTATTCATTTAATAATAGTATTTAAGTGTCAAAAAATGTTGACAAGAATGTTCATACTGGAGTCAAATTCTATTTACAAACAACATCGCATCTTCGAGCACAGGACGGTCGTGTAAATATATGCATAATAGTCATTACCATCGTGTGCATATCTCTGGCAATGTGCAATTGCTATTTGCACGACGGTCGTGTAAATAGATTTTTTTTCTTACCTATGTGCACGACAGTCGTGTATATATCTCAGCAATATTTGCAATAGCTATTCGCACGACGGTCGTGTAAATAGACTTTCTTTACTACGCGCACGACGGTCGTGTATATATCATCGGCCCTAATATACCCCTTTCTTCTCTTATATAATAACTCTTTCTGTAATAAACAATAGATTTTTAGATAACCTGGCCCTTTCCTACCGTATGATCTATTGATATCTGTTTTGTTCCATCGTCGTCCGTCGTGCATTAACATTTGAACATATTCAGACCAATTACAACCAATTTTGATATAGGGCATCTATATAGACAAGAAAAGATATGGGTTACCCCATATCCAAGATATTCGACTTTTAATTTATTCGCATTTTCATTGTGCTCAGATGATTTCTAATAAAAAACAAGTATTTACATGTACTGACAAAACGTCAGAGATACTCAAGCTGTAGAAAGTCAACTATAAAAGTGCCATAAATATCCTAAAATGACATATTATTTAGGCTACTGAGTTTCAACATCTTTTGTTGAATAAAATATGCATGTAGTAGGAAACAACCTGTATGTACATATATATATATATATATATATATATATATATATATATATATATATATATATATATATATATATATATCGTTACATGCTTGTAGTGACTTTATCACAAAGTTGCACATGCATAAAAAATAGGTTTAATTTCACATAGAACATAGACTAAATATAATTAATCGTATAATTTTAAAAATGTATTTAACACCTCACTCATAATCCAAATAGCATGTTACAGGCATAGCAACGTTTTCAAAATGAAAGGGGGGGGGGGCTCCGAAAAAATCCCGCGTACTATGGGCCTGTGCTACATGCATCTAACTTTCCAATGATAGAATCTTCTGTGAAAAAAATTCAAGCCGTTATGGATTATCAAAGATAGCCCAATTTTTTTTTTAAATAGCAAAACTATAGATCTATCAAGGATATATTTTAATTTATATTTTAATTTTGTGCTATTAAAGTACTATCACTCAAAGTATAGGCAGATGTTAAAGATGGGTCAACCTGTCACCTTTTAGAGTAATCAATGAACTCGTCCAGAGATGCATTGACGGTGTCACGGCCGTTGTTTAAACGAAAAGGAAATCGCGAGATTGGTTGCGGCTGTGGAGCAATACTGAATAGTCCTTCGTCATAGAATAGAGTCCGACATTTAACACTTAATATAGATTTTGAAGATACAGACGTTTTGAAAACTTCATTTTGTTTCAAGAAATGTTTTTATTTACAAAAATAGTATATTTTCTTGATTAAAAACTGAGTAAATCGATGACCTACCATCGTTTTAGATAACTCAGTCCCTCTAGCCCAGTCTAAGGCTTGAGTAAAAAACCTGCATTTGTTATGAAACTGGTGTATAGTTCTAAATTTCTTCATGTCCGTAGCAAATACTGATCAAATAGCCTAGGTCTACACACGTTCGAAGATCCTTTCCGACGAGCTTGGAAAATCACGTTGCTTTGCCGAGAAGTTACGATTGCAGGTGTTTAACAATAATAACCATTCCGTTGCTTAAAAAAGAGGGGAAAAAACAAACAAACAGTTAATGATTAATATTCTAACTCAAGAGAAAATACACGGCAATTAACGAACAATAATCATGACAGTAATATAATTGGTGAAAAGATTTATCATTATCAATCGAAGTATGACCTATATATTTCGTGAAAAAGACTGAGGAGGCAGCGAGCG